GAGAGAGAGAGAGAGAGAGAGAGAGAGAGAAAATTATATAAATGTGTGTGAAATTTGCAATGTGTAAATTAAAACAAAGTAGGGTTATTGTTAATTTAATTTACCAGGTTCAAAGTTAATTGTTAGATCCAAGAATCCACCACGTTGGAGTTGACAAATGCCGGTACCATTGCATGATTTAATGTCAACATTTAAGGTGATGCCACCTGGCCATGTTCCTATTTGTCCATTTAGTAACAGTTAATGTATTATTATTTAATATGCATAATTATTTAATGTATAAATACTGACCACACTTTTTGATTGGTATACCATTTGATGAGACAATTGTGGCTATTAGTAGAATCAAACTTACAAATAAAGTAAACATTTTATACGTTTAAAATAGTATAAAATTTTCAATTAAACTTTTCTTGAAATTATTGTTTTGTAAAGTATTAACAGTAAAATCAATGGTATTTATACCAAAATATAATTATATTCCTACCTGATAAATCATCATGTGGTGTATTTAGGTTTACTGTATATAAGTGCAAACTATAACTCAAAATAATCTCTTTGATAAGTCACAATTGTTATATAAAGTGCACAAGCTTGTTTTGTTGTATAATAGAGATGAAATAAACAATTGCATTTTATCAACATAAATAAACTTTATTACTAATACTCATGACTGCTTTGAGAGAGGATAGGGGTTTAATTAGATGAATGTGATTATTGATTTAATTGATTTAACAATAATTTAATCAAAAACATTAGCCTAAGTTTACATTACTATGTTATTTATGTTTTAAACATTAGTTTATCAGACTTATATCTGTATGCATTAAATAACATTTGGAAAAATACCATGCAAATGTTTAATAGACATAGATTAATTATATCAATAAAAATAAATACCGTACAAACAAACGTAATAAACACTTGTTAACTATGATTGACGTAGGTGTAAACGTTTGGCTAATAACAGGGATCACCACTTGTTAAAATAATATTTGATAAAGCTACTATAAATTAATACAACTCAAATAATAACTGTAAAAACAATTTGCTAGAAGTAACCTGGTAATCCAACATATTTAAAATAATAAATTAAATACTACAATGTTACAAAAATTGTCACAAAATAGTATGAATCACTCTACATGGTGTTATTTATACAATATGTGTACATAATTCACCACAATATGTTACGTTTAATGTATCTAATTTAGTTAATTTAATTAAATTATACCAATCACAATTATGAATCGGGGCAGTATTTACCGGCGTCGATCATCCGGCTATTATGGGGCCAGTTTTGTGTACCAAAACAGACGGGCCTCCAACATGCAGGTGCCCATTGGGTTGGGTGTTAATAATCAACCATGCTCGTATCAAAACGAAAACTATCAAGGTGTTGAGGTAGAGGGCCGTCGCATAAGGGACTGTATAGAGGCCCGGGAGGCCCTTAAAAAGCACAATTACCGGCGTTTATTAGCCAGTATTGTATTGTGTTATGGTAATTTTTGTGTTGGTAGTACCTATTCTGTGTTGGGACCACTGTTTCCTTCCGAGGTTAGTTATTTTTAATTTGTTTTTTTATAATTTATTAATTAGATTTTAGTTTTGCAACTTGCCATAAATTATTAATTATTATTTATTGAATAATAACTTGCCAATATAATGGTAAAGTCCTCATAGTAAAATAATATAATTATAATTACTAAATAATCCTCGCATAAGTAATTTTCTGTGCGTTTAGTAACTGTAAAATAATAACATTTTTAGAGTCAGCATAATATAAAATTATGAAAATATTAATATAATGGATTGTCAAAATAGCCGTAATTACTTATTTCATTGTAATTTAATGTTTTAGTTGTATTTGTCTTATATTTATTTTATAGTATTAATATTTTCTTAATATTTATTATAATAATAAATTATTAATTATTATTCTTTGAATAATAACTTGCTACTATTATGGCAAAGTGCTCATAGTAAACTAATATAAAGTTATAATTAATAAATAATTGTCTAATTAATTTTCTGTACTAAATTAAAAATGTAACTTATCTATTTCATCAAGGGTAAATTAAAGGGCATATCTGAAACATGGATCGGGCTGATAATGTCACAGTACGAAGTAGCTATATTTTTCGGGTCGCTATTATTTGGCAAAATAGTGAGTGATCTAATTAAATTAGTTATAAATGAATTTAAAATTATTTTATTAATTGTAACAAGGTACCATATTTTAATCCAAAACACTCATTAATACTGGGTTTATTAGTGGCCGGATTGTCGACTATATTATTTGGCTTTATGCAATCATCGCCATCTGGTTATATTTTTACCATGATCAGCATGCTTATACGTACAATATCCGGATTGGGCTCGGCCATGTTTTTTATCAGCGCATGGACAATTGTCGGACTCAATTTTCCGACCAGTTTAGCCCGAATATTTGTAATATAAGCGAGCTTGGTTCTTTAGAAAATGTTAATTAATTATTTATTTTACAAAAATAAAATTATCTAGTCTTTAACCGAAATGTTCTACGCAATTGGCATGATATTTGGCCCGGGTATAGGTGGTTTGCTGGCCGAGCTAGGTGCTTATATTGGCGCCGCGTTTATATTGCCATTTGTAGTGTTGGGCGTACTTATAATTATTGGTTGTATCATGGCATATTATTTAATAGATACTGAAAGTAAGCTAGATGATTAAATTTATTAATTTGAATTAAGTTATGCTAATATTTGACAAATAGATCCAGGTGAAGACAATACGGAAAAGACCAGCATTTTGACCGTGGTCAAGCATTTTGGTTTCGCACTTAATTTATTGATCACAATTAATGGCTGTATTCTCATTGGCTTTAACGACGCGACACTGGATTTGCATTTAAAAACTGTGAAAAACAAATAATTTAGTTAATGTATTTAACTTATGATAAATTAATTGCAATTTACATTGCTAATAATTTAGATCCGGCATCTATCGCCATCTGTAGAGGGTATTATATTTATTGTGCAAGGTGCATTTTACGCCATGTTCAATCCATACTGGGCCAGTTTGGTGGACAAAGTGGCAAATAAACATAACCTATGCATAGCTGGCTGTATATTTTCACTGCTCGCTTACGTAATCACCGGTCCGTTGCCTTTCATACCGATTAACCCGTATGTAAAACATAGCATAATATTATTTAAGCATGGTAACGTGGTTTAAAACCTAATTTTTAATTTATGGCAATAGCAACTTATGGCTTGTAATAATAGGCCAGGTGTTTCTGGGCTTTTCCATGGGCGGTATGATCGTGGGCAGTTTTGCGCACGGCTTTCAACAAATATTGTAATTAATTATAACTAATAATACAAACACTTAATTATTTACAACAAAATACAACACATTTTACATTAGGAATAAAGGGTTTGCTGAAAATGTCAGTACATATGCCGTTATATCAGCAAGTTTTTCATCGGCCTTTGCCTTGGGCTCAGCCATAGGGCCAGCACTGGGCGGATATTTGATGGGACAGTTAGGTTATCGGTGGGCAACTTTGCCCATGGTGGCGCTCGAATTTTTATTTGTAAGTTATACAGTTATTTTAATTGTATATTACCATAATTAATTGTTTATATATTTTATTCTAATAGATTGTAGCAATATTAACGTATAATATGTGCGATAGTAGTACTGAAAGCAATGATAGTATAACGAGTGACAACTGTAGTAACGATAATAATAATTATAGCGTTAACTACAATACAAATGGCAATTATTGTGTAAATAATAGCAAAATTGATGAATACATTGAAATGGAGTAATTTCTGCCAATTTATTAATTAATGATTATAATAATTATTATTAAACTATATTTTCATAATGTAATAAATTACATACTATTAATTTATTAAATAATTACAGTAGAATATTACTACAGTCGAATATTTATAAATTATAATGATCACTATACAGACATGTTAAAATGGTAATGATTTTCTACGAATAAATAATCTTGGTGTTTGTGTACGGTCTACTTTTATGTTTTGCAAAAGTAATTGAATATTGGCTTATCCGA